TTTCTTCTTGTTTATGTGGTGCTGAGGAATCGAACCCAGGGCCTCAAGCATGCAAGGCAAGCGCTCTACCACTGAGCCACCTTCCCAGCCCCATAAATTACATTTTTAAGGATTGCTCTGCAGAAAGCACTGAGATTGCATGAGATTAAAAAACCAAGTATCTGAGCTGGTGACTCTCACCTCAGGAGGCTGAGATCTGAGGATCTTGGTTCAAAGCCAGCCCAGGCAGGAAAATCTATGAGACTCTTATCTCTAATAAACCACTCAGAAAACTGGAAGTGGCACTGTGGCTCAAGTGATAGAGTGCTAGCCTTGAGCTGAAGAGCTGAGGGACAGTGACCAAGCCCAGAGTTCAAGCCCCACAACCCACAAAAAAAGGGGGGAGCTCGGAAGTTGGTTCAGTGGTAGAGTGCTTGCCTCACATGCATGAGGCCCTGGGTTGGATTCCTCAGCACCACATAAGCAGAAAAAAGCTGGAAGTGGCGCTGTGGCTCAAGTGGTAGAGCACTAGCCTTGAGCTGAATTGCTGAGGGACAGCGCCCAGGCCAGAGTTTAAGCCCCACGACCGGACCCAAAAGAAAAAACAAAACAAAACAAAAACCCACCAAGTATCTGTGGGCAGATTATTTTCTGAGAAATAAGACATTGTCTTTGACCTCTCTCAACAACTCACATTTTCTACTGACTGAGAATTATTAGGACTATTCAGTTTGACCTTGGGTTCTGGGGATGTTTCAACCTACTGATGTCTCTTGTTGCACTGAGGAATAACAGAACTGCCCTATGAGGAGGAAGGTTAGAATGAATATTTGGTAAGAGACGTAAAACCAGCAGAGAGCAGGAAGTTCTAAGAAGCAGAAGAGGCCAAATAAAATATGGTTAAACAAGGTATAATAGCATTTTCAATATGCCTTGCAGTTAAAATGACTGGTAATAGACACTAAAGAAAACATGCCTGACCATTGTGATTATAAACATCTATCTATGTTTACATTAGTCTGGATAAAGGTGGAATATATCAAGGGAAAGGAATACAATAAAACTTGATTATGTTTGCATTTTATATTTATCAATGTAAGGGGACACCAAAGCTATTCTACATCTTGTGTTGTAAGTCTCTTGCTAAAGCAAACATGAGGCCAAGATGGGGAGACTTAATACTTACCATTGTTTTAATATGAAGAATGCCTAATATAAAAAGCATCCTATAGCACTTGATCATATGGGTAAACAAAAGAGGCCGCACAGTTGGAAAGATCTTAATGTAGCCAACAGTCCTCATTATAGAAATGGAAAGAAAATAATCCAGTAAACAAATAAGAAAAAATATCAATGATGAAAGCCTTGACAAAAAATATATGCAAAAGAGAGCAAATGGGATGATCATAACTCTGTGCATAGGAAAGATCTCTTTGAGATGGTAATTTTCAACCTAAAATCTAATTTATTGAAGGAGTTATTTGTGTGAAACTTGGGTGAATAGTGTCCTAGGTAAACCGACACCACTGGGGAACTTTAAGTCTAGGGCTCTTTCTGGAAATTGCAAAAGTTTTCAATAGTTTTGAAATTTTTCTTTGCCAAAGGAAACTTTAAATGGAAGAAATCTTGCACCTGAGAACACAGATGGAGTTAAGTATTGCCCTAGACAATCTCATGGTGAGGCTTTGGTGAAAAAAGGTTATTATTTAATATTTTCATCAATGATACGCAAAAATGACAGAGTACTCAAGCAATTCTGCAAGAAATCTTATCCACTCCCATGGAATGCTGTCACCTGTATCAATACCAGAGCCTTAAGCTGTGACCTTTTAATTGGAGACTTAGAGATAGCCATTAAAAAAAACTCTACTACATAAAATATGACTAGCATTTCAAAGCTTACATCTTGACCTGTTTATTCATATTAAAGATAATGATTGATTTCAAAAAATAAAAAGGAAAATTTACACTTGGGATAATTAAAGTTGCACTCTGTTATGGATGTGTGGGGCTATGATCATGTGAATTATCTCTCTATTTCAGGTAATCAGGTGCCAGGATGCACACTGTAGTTCTAAACTAGATAAACTTACTAATTCTAGAAGCCTGGAGGAAACACTTTGTATGATCTAATTTTAAGTGGCAATGTATGACAGTCACTCCACAGCAAACAAGCAAAAAAGTATAGATACCAATGGAGACTCAGAGCACCTCAAAGATGAAACCTCACCCCTAGTCTACACTAGTAAGATTGTTTTAAAAATTGTAGATCTCATCGACTTGAAGACAATATGGCTTCCCAAGGAGCCTAACGACCTCACAAAACGACAGAATAGTGGTTACTGCATGTATTGAGAATTAGGAGCTTCTGCCCTTGCTGTTTCAATAAGAAGGGATTAATTGATTGATTTGGGTTTCCCTTCTCAAGAACTTGGGGAATATGTTTATACTTTAAGTGCATCCTCTTAAGTCTTTGACTTTTATGTACTTTTTTTTTCAATAATGGGTTTAAACTTAGGGCCTCATACTCAGTCTGTTTGCCTGGTTCGGTTCTCTACCATTTGAGGCATGCCTCCATTTTTACAGTTGGAGTCTTGCATAGTTTTCTGCCCAGTTTGGCTTCACACCATAATTCCTCAGAATCTCAGCCTCCCGAGTAGCTATGGGTACAGGAATGAGCCATCAATGCCAGTGTTACTTTCTACCCCCATTCTGTATTCCTCTTCTTTATATTGTTTTTTGCACTTTGGTCCTTGTTTGAATGGTTCTATTATAGCCATCTCCTTCGTAAGGGACAAATTTCCCTTTAAAAATAGATGTTATAGACATAAAGGAAGGAGAAATGGAAACGACTTCTGAAATATCTGTTTTTTAAATAAGATCTTATAAATTCAATGAGTTTAACAGGGAAAAAAATTCTGAATTCACAGGCTTGGTTCTTTTTAAACATGAATTAACTATTTCACAAACTTTAAGCCACCAAAACCATGTTTTCCCAAGTTTAAATTTGATTGTTTTTCTTCGATATGGTATTATAGCTCTCTAAATGCTCTCGATTCAGTATTTTTGAGTACTATTCCTTGGAGCTTGGGAGAGCAAGGAAGGATCCACCAACGGCTTCCACTTCATCAGCAGCCAATATGTGACCTGCTTTGCTCTCAGCAGGAAGCCTTGGCTGGCAGGCTCTGTTCTGCAGCCATGACCTACTCAGAGAAGAGACAAATCTCCCGAAGGGTATGAGTTGCCTCCATTTACCCAGTTTCTTTAGAAACTTTACCAGCTTTCTATAGGGAGGAGTGTTCCATGTATCCAACTTTGAATCCCTTTAGGGTGACCCAGAAAGGGCCTCAGCCCAAGGGAACCAGTATTAAGGTCACTGAAAGACTCTGGTATGACTCCTTGCAGGCTTCTCTTCAACATTATGTTGTTTTATGCTGTCCTTTCTCCCCTTTTTTCACATAGCTTTGGCATACTTCAGGGGATTAACAGATACATTAATAATCAGAAAATATTTTTAATTGCCTTAATTTTTAAGTAGTTTTTTTTTTTTTCTGGTCAGTAATGGGGCTTGAATTCTGGGCCTGGGCACTGTCCCTCAGCTCTTCAGCTCAAGGCTAGTGCTCTACCACTTGAGCCACAGCGCCACTTCTGGTTTTCTAGTGGTTAATTGGAGATAAGAATCTCATGCCCTCCCCCACGGTATAACCCCTGCTTCACTGTATTTGATGTCGGTATAATTTGTGGAGGGGAATGGAAAAAACAAATCGTTTAAACAGAGATACAGGTGGACCCATTGCAACAATGAAATGTACAAGTCGTTATGTCGAAAAACGAACTTTACAACTTTGGTAGAGGGATGGGGGGACGGGGGAAGGGGTATGGGAAGGGATGGGAAGGGGAAACAAAGGAGGAGGCAACAATGCATGATAAGAAATGCACTCATTACCTTGCCCATGTAATTGTAACCCCTCCGTACGGTATTTTCACAATAAAAAAAAAAAAAAGAAAAATGAACTTTACAAACTTTGGCCAGGGGTAGGGGGTGGTGAGAGGGTGGGGTGGGGGGGGTGGGGATGTGAAGGGATGGGAAGGGGAAACAAAGGAGGAGGCAACAAACTTGATAAGAAATGCACTCATTATCTTGCCCATGTAATTGTAACCCTTCTGTAGGGTATTTTCATAATTAAAAAAAAAAAGCTCAGGGACAGCATTCAAGCTCTGCGTCAAGCCCCACAGGGGTGCATAATTTAATAAATAAAAATAAAAAATAAAAATAACCCCCCCCAAAGAATCTCATGGACTTTTCTGCCAAGGATGGCTTTGAACGGTGATCCTCAGATCTCAGCCTCCTGAGTAGCTAGGATTACAGCTGTGAGCCACTGGCACCTGGCTTAAGTTTTGTCTGTCTGGAAAGCAGAAAGCTTACATGCAAAACTCTACTGACATTTCTAAACTTCCTTACTGAAATGAAGGTCCATTCTGCACATTTGACTGTGAGTCTGTGCCCATAGCTACCTTTCTTAGATTCAGCTCTCTCCATACATAATATTAATAATCCTAATTATTGCTCATATTATGGATCAAGTTGAAAGAGCAGAAAGAAGCCAGTGCAAACATTTTTACATACATATTTATATATTTATATATACACATATTTATATATACATATTTATATATTTATATAAACACAGCCTCCATCAATGGGCTCTTATATTTCATAAATGGCCTTGAGGTTGGCACTATTGGACTGGAAAAGGTACCTTCCATCATTGATACAATAGGAGGAATAGGAGGCAGAGATAGAGGTTCCATTCTCTCACACAATCTCTCAGTGTATCTCATTGTGTCTTGTCTCTATTTCTCTGTCTTTCTCTCTCTGTCTCTCTGTCTCTGTCTGTCTCTGTCTCTGTCTGTCTCTGTCTCTCTGTCTCTGTCTCTCTGTTTCTCTCTGTCTGTCTGTCTGTCTGTCTGTCTGCCTGTCTGTCTCTCTCTCTCAGGTAAGTGTAACAGGGTAACATTACCTTTCTGGATTCTTATCACTATTCTCCAGATGCTGAGTCCCAACACAACAGCCGTCAGCAGCCCGCACGCAATGGCCACCAGCACCCTCAGATGACAGGTGTGGAAAGAAGGCATGATGAAGCCACATCACAAATCTCCTCGGTGAAAAGAAACAGGCTTCTTCTTGTGCCCTGACGTTTAACTACAAACTATATAAAAATAACCCCTTGTCTCAGAGATCCATAAGGCAGGTGTCTCATATTTTAGGGGTTTTGAGATTAGTTCAGCAGAATAGAATTTAAATCACCTAATAAAAGGTGCACTCGCTGCTTGCAATATCCACATCCTTCACTGGAGGAAATATGAAAAAGGTGATTGGTGTTATAGGAAAGGGAAGACAACTCAGTGCAATAAAGCTGGGGAGGGACTAGCCTAGAGGGTCAAAGGGTGAATTACCCAGACCTGTAAGAGAAAGAAGGAGAGGAACAAACAAGGAGAGAAACCAAAGAGGAAGTCCAGGAAGGTAGTAGATCCTGGAGGTCACCTACAGTTCAGACTCTCAGGTTTTTGTTTGTAAGGGGATCCAGCAGAGGTAGAGGAGCAGGTGTTGATGAGGCCATGCAAATGATCTCTGGGGGAGATAATGTATGCTGTTAATGACAAGACAAATAGTAAAAGCCACACATGATCTCAGTGCTTGCATTACATTAAGGAGCCTACATTGTGACAGCTGCAGTTGGCGAGTGAACACAAGATTTTTGTTGTTGTTGTTGTTTTTAAGTACTAAATCCTAGCATTACAACCCAACTGTCAGGCTAACTTGTACCTCTATATCACACATATGATGTGATCTTATTTGGAGATAAGTTGTTATAGAAGTAATCCATTTACTTCTTGTAAATTGGGGTCATGAAGAGGGCGCTGATAGTATTCTTATAAGAGAAAATTTGGACAGAGAACTGCATAAAGGGAAGATGCATGAAAAGATAAATGGGAGAAGACAGCCATGTACAAGCTCAGGAGATAGATGTGGATCAGAGTCTTCCCTCAGAATCCTAAGAAGCACCCAATTGGCTGACACCTTGATTTGGGACTTTGAGCCTCTCGAACTGGGAGATAATAAATTTCTATTGTTTTAGCCATGTACTTTGTAGTACTTTGATACAGCAGTATCAGGAAAAAATATTCCATCTCAGTACATGAAAACTGGTGTTTCTCTGAAACTTTAGTTCTGACTTTCTCTGAAGCGTTAGCTGTGACTTTGGCTCTGACTTTCTTAACGGGATCCCTTATTATTCACCCCTCCTTTGCCTTGAAGGAATAGGTGAATGCATGAGCACTCACATCCACAGAGCTCTGTGTCTGACAGATCAAACACATGTAGAAGATGTTCCCGTGATTCATCAGAACCACAGATATTTCTTTCATATGTTAAAATTCTTTTTAAGATTTGGACAGTCCTTCAAAGAACAAATATTCTCCTAGGTAATAATAGAAACAAGGATGTATTTCCCCATTACACAAGTAGTAACTACTACACAAGTAGTAACACTAAAATGAAGGATAAATATTAAGGACAATGATTTCCTCAGGAATTAGAAAAGCAAGGTTTTACAACTGGCAAGAAAGTCAGAGTTTGCATGGAAAGTTGAAAAAAACAAAGAAAATTGGTAAAGCCTTAGTTAATCTAACTAAAAGGAGAAGGGAATGATTCAAATAAATAATATTTATTTGAGAAATAAAATAAAATCTTAGAAGTCATAAAGGAATACTTCAAAAACTTCAAATACTCTTCAAACTTATCCATGGACTACAAAGGGATGTATCTCTTCTCATTCTATAAAGCTAATATTCTACTTATTACATAGCCAGACAGGGACACAAGATAAAAAGAGAACTATGCACTGATCTCTTCAATGAATATAGATATAAAACTCTTTAATAAAATACTTGATAATCAATTTCATCATCTAATAAAAAATCATATACTATGAATCATGGTCAAGTTGGTTTTATTCCAAATTTGCAAGGTTGGTTATATATACATTACAGCATAAAAACAGAATCAAGGACAAAAATCGTATGTCATCTCAATTGACACAGAAAAGGTCTTTGACAAAATTCAACACTTTTTATGATAAAAGCTCTGAAGAAACTAGAACTAGGAGGAATGTACCTTAAAATAATAAAGGTCATGTATGACAAACTCAGCCAATGCCATACTAAATAAGGAAAAACAAAATCTTTCCCTTTAAAAGCAGAACTAAACAAGGAAGATTTGTTCAATATGGTACTAGAATTTGTAGCAAGAGCAATATGACAAAAGAAAGCAATCAAAGGCATTCACATATGGAAGGAAAGTCAAATTGTCCCTATTTGCAAATATGGTCCTATGCCTAGAGAGCCTAAAGAACCCATTCAAAAAAATCAGAATGCTGATGAATACCTTCTGTAAATTAGCAGGATACAAAAGCAACACACAAAAATCAGTGTCTTCTCTGTATGCCAATGATGAGCAGCATTGGGTGGAAATTAGGAAAACAACCCCATTCCTAATAGCATAGAAAAATAAGTAAAATATCTAAGAATAAATCTAACTAAAGAGGTGAAGGATTGCTACAATGATTATTATAAAACCTTCAAGAAATGAATCGAAGAAAACATCATATCTTCCCATTTACAATACCCTACTTTCCTTCGTGAGCATTTCAGCCCTTAAATGAATCATTGAAGAAGAGCAGAGCAAGGGCCTGTAGTGCAGGTAGAGAGGGACAGTGGTCTAGAGTAGATGTCAGAGACCTGGAAATTCAACAGGGTGTCTAAAAAGAAAAGACAAGGGATGATATGTCAGACCCTGAGCAAGATGAAGGGGCCATTGATGTGATTATGAAGGGTGGTCTGGTATTGAAAGCCAATCAGGGAAAGCGATCATCCAGGTGAAAGATAGTATAAAGGGGTAAATCAAAACCAAAGCACCTATCAGAGACCAACAGCATGTAGGAGAAAGTCATCTACACAGACGGGGTACTGTAAATTTGCTCAAGGCTTGAGCTCTACTACTTTAGCCACAGCTCCACTTCTGGATTTAATTTTTTTGAGTAGTTTATTGGAGATAAGCGCCTCATAGATTCAGCTATTCAAGCTGGCTACAAATTGTGATCCTCAGATCTCAGCCTCCTCAGTAGATAGGATTGCAGGCAGGAGCCACTGGTGCCCAGCTATAACAAATTATTTATACAATAAGTATTACAAATAATAATTACAATATAACCCATTACAGAAACTCTGGGGATGGGTCCCAGAAATCTGTGTTCTCACAAGTCCTCCAAGTGATTTAACTCTGCTCAAAATAGGGATTTCTTTTCATCTCTCAGACGTCTAACATCAGCCTGGATTGAGGGCATCTTTTAATCCCTCAAGGCTGACACTGTCACGATTTTACTAATCCTTTTAATCCCTCTGCACCCTGTCATCAAGACTCTATTACAGACTCAAGGATCCAACATCCCTCACTGGCCCGTGTATCTTCCAAACAAGAAATTCACCAGGGAACAAGATGGCAGTGCAAGAGCATTAGATCAGTGCTCTAAAATGAAGCTTTCATTACAGGCTCAGGACTCATTTCCAGCAGTATAAGGGGGTCAACCGGGGCTTCTTCAACCTGCTTTCTGTCTCTCCTGTGGGGAGTAGAAAAAGAGCCAGTGAGCCTTCAATAGGAACTTCCCATGTGGAGGAATGGGAATGGAATGGAGTATGATAGTTCTCCTCTTGATACATGCAAAGCGTATAAACATGACCCCAAAAGATGAAAGATCAAATCAAGATTTATTGCCTGAAGTAAGGAACAAACTAAAATTATTTCAAAAGCAACACCCTCCTCAAACAAAGGAAGCATGAAGATTTATTCTGGGAGCCTACACATACTCATATAGAAATACAGTTGAGGAAAGCGAACATGTCTAGTTTAAGAAGGTCATATTTCAAGAAGGAAAGACAGTGGACACATTTTTAGACATGTTCAAGGTCATAGAGCATATGTTCAACAAGTGGAAATGATAGACAAGAATGCAGGCTCAATTATCCCCGAAAGTATTTGCTGAGCCAAAAGGAAGGAGCACTTTGAATGTACATTAATATAGAAACTTCCTCCCCAAAATGCTTGCCTGGCTTAGTAGAAAATAAAATTAGTGGGAAATTGTGTGCTGATCTGAGGCAAGATGAGTGGATATTTTCAGTGTCATGAGTAAAACAGCCCTGTCATCCATACCTTGATGAGATAATACTCTGGATCCACCTTCCTTCCTTTCTTCCTTTCTTTCTTCTTCCCCTCCCTCTTTTCTAACTTTCTTGCTTGCTTTTTGCTTGTAGTTGTGCTTGAACTCATTTGGCCTTCTTGATCACAGCGGGTGCTCTACCACATGAGTCAGGCCTCTAGTCCAACATTTTGTAGGTTAATTTAAGATAGAGTCTTGCAGACTTTTCTGTATTGGCTGGGCTGTCTCCAAAATGCAGACCTCCAGTTATTAGCCTCCTGAGTAGCTAGGAATACAGCTATGAGCCACCAGTACCCAGTTTCTTTCTTGTTTTTTTCCCCATGAAACTAAGAAGAGGTATATTTCACAAATGTACCATGTATTTTCAATAATAAGAAGGCCCACAAACCCCAGAAGGCTTAATCATAGTTTATGATACTCAAAGATACTTGAGAAGTTTGTAACCTAGACAAAGAGCAGATGCATGCAACATTAAGGACACCAAGCACCAGAAGTCACTAGTTTAGCCCCATGATCTATGCTACAAGTGTGAGCACTACCTACCTGAGGAATACTAGAATAACTGATCAAAGGCTCCAGGAAACATACAACCTAATGGAGCCATAAAACAGTGTAAATGGATAACCAGTTCAAGATGCCTGGAGATTTCACTTCACAGCAAAGATAATGCATTTATAGTTTGTAATAAAATTTAAGGAGATTATATCCCTGGCATTTGCTGCAGAATATCATTTTCCAACTCGTATACATACCTTATTGTGAGGTCTATAATGTTAAGTTTAAAGCTAAAATGTTAACAAAATACTGCAAATTGAGTGACTAAACAAAGAGATGTATTGCTCCACAGGACTGAAGTGAGAAACTTATGACATAGTATTGGCAGCACCCTCCCCCTTGGGAAGGTGAGAGGGAAAGATCTATTTCTTGCCGTTCATTGCCAGTCTTCGGTTTTCCTTGACTTGTGGATATGTGTATCATATTGATATCTGCCTCCTTGTTTTTGTGTTTGCGTGTTTCTTGTGTTTGCGTGTATGTGTCTGTCTACATTTAAATTTCCCTCTATCCAAAGACACTTGTCACATTCAATTGGAGCTACCCTGCTCCATCCAGTATGGTGTCCAGATCTGAACTATTTACATGACTATTTCCACACAAGGCTCTATTCTGAGGTACATGGGTTTAGGACTTACATGTACTAATTTGGGGACCTAGAAGCATAATTGGACTCATAAAAATATACTAAAATAATAGTAAAATAAAATATAAAATTTCTAAACTTAAAACTGTCTCTCTATTTCTGTGCTCCCATTTGTCATTTGAATTTCCAGTTTCTTCTAGTATCTGAAGCTTGTATTTCCTTATGAGGTATTTTTTCATTGTTGCGCCACTAGAGGGAGGCATTGCTGTCTTTTCTTCTGTGAATTCTGTTCTAGAGTATCTTCTGTCTTCATCCATTGGTCCTTATGTCTAGTGTTGATAGACTTATTTCTCATCAAGACTTAACCAGTAATTCACTGCAGGATCTTGGGGAAGTCCCTAACTGGTCTGAGTGCTTGCCTACATAAACCTCTTATTGTCCATGCTCTTCCTCTCTCCTTTCTCTGCCTATAGCTCATTGTCCAGTGCTATAGGTCAAGAAAGATTCCTCGGTTGCTACAAAAGAAAAAAGAAGTATAGTCTCCCTTAAGGAAATATTATATAGGGAGAAGGAAAAATTTGTATCTAGATATTGAGAACCAAAAATGTTGTCTGAGGCTCTAAGCTTCTGGGAACAGAAGAAGAGAGTATGAAGTAGCTGGAGAGAAAAGTTTCGATTTGTAATTTAAAGAATATTCAGCTGGGCGCCAGTGGCTCACACCTGCAATCCTAGCTACTCAGGAGGCTGAGGTCTGAGGAGACGGTTCAAAGCCAGCCCAGGGAAGGAAACTCCATGAGACTCTTTTTTTTTGGGGGGGGGGTCCAGTCGTGGGGGGGTCCAGCTCTTCAGCTCAAGGCTAGCGTTCTACCACTTGAGCCACAGCTTTTTTCTTTTTTCTTATGTGTTGCTGAGGAATCAAACCCAGGGCCTCATGCATGCAAGGCAAGCACTCTACCACTGAGCCACCTTCGCAGCCCCTCCATGGGACTCTTATCTCCGATTAAACACCAGAAAACCAAAAGTGGCACGGTGGCTCTAAGTGGTAGAGCGCTAGTCTTGAGCTGAAGAGCTCAGGGACAGCGCCCAGGCCCCACAGGCCCACAGACCCACAGTTCAAGCCCCATGATTGACCAAAAAAAAAAAAAAAAGAATCTTCAGAATTAAGCTGAGAGTTTTACGAGAGAGGGTGTTTATACAACAAGGGAATGAACATATAAAATATTCTGGGGAGCAGAAAATATATTGGGTTGTGTTGGGAAAGCCATTTGAACGCAAAATGGCACATTTGAACTATGTTTAATACACAAAGAGTCAAAGTTATGAGCGTAATATTATTTTACACTAGATCGCAGAGACAAAGGAAACCTGGGTTGTTTTCTAAGCAGATAAGACTGCATTCCATCCTTACTGATGAAGGCTGTGGATTAATGGGTAATCTTATTTCTGTATGTTTGGAGGTGATATACCTTTTTGGCTTCTGGCAAAGGATATCAAACAAAGATTCTTTGGGGCTCTACTTCTAACTTCTTATTTAAAACCCTCCTGTAAGGACATTTGAAGATAAGACAAAAACCTACCTTCATGATAGCTCAGATAAGAGATGTATTCTTATTCCCATTTTAACAGTTCTTAACTATAAAATTCCTCCTACAATTCATATACACACTCAACAAGTGTATGCGCTCCCTGCTTCAAGACATCATAGGTTGAAAACTACTAATTACCAGACTCAGAGCTGTAGGTTTGATTACTGGGGAAAAAAGTGACCTAAAATTCATGAGAATAGCACCTTTAGTAGATGTGAAATAAATGTGAATAATATCCTATCAGATAGGAAATATATGTGGAAAAATATACATCAAGGTCAGAAGCCAAAAGGTAATTTTAAATTTCTTCTTCAATCCCAAGTGGTTCATTTATTGATTTGCTAGTCTATAAGTTGGGTATAAATGCTTAATTTTTTAAACAAATTTACAAATTATTAAATTTAAAGATGAAATACTTAAACACATTTTTAAATAAAATAAAATTCAAAATGGGCTTTGGGGTGATCTCTCCTTCATCCTAACTCAGGGTACTTGAGTGCTACTTCCTCCTGAGAGAATGTCCTTCTGTAAGCTTTGCTCTTTCTCCTGTAGCAGAAGGCACTGGTGCAGTTAACTACAAACCAAGATTTGACAGTATCCTGACCACTTCACATGGTGAAATAGGTATTGCGGTTCTGTACCAGGTGCTTCTTATTGTCTTCTCTTCTTCTAGAGAAGAATGGAAGAGATCCTTTGCAAGAGGCCTATCTCATAGGAAGTTGACACATCTGGAAAGGGCTGACATTTCCTAAGAGTTAGGCAATATTATATAACTACTTGGGTGGATACAATGTATTTTCATTAGTAGTCCCAAAAGACAGGTAATTAAGTATGACTACATGCAAGAAGGCACACTACCTATGCAGAGAAGGCTGGAAAAACCCTGGATGGAACATCTGATATGTGCCAATAAATAGGATTCAGGTACAATACAGTCAAGGCCCCTGCCCCCTTCTATCTCTGTGGGTTTCTTTTCTCAACAATGTTGTCTTCCAAAAAGAAGTTGCTTTACCAAGGAGAAACCTAAATATAAAACAGCTGACATGTTTTCCAGAAAACCTATTGACTGTAATTCTATTTGTTGATTCAAGACTTCCTAGTAGAATGTAAAAAATAATCCAGATTCTCCAATTTAGCTTGACTCACAATTGATTAATTTTCATGTCATTTCATTAAAAATAGAAAACCTAAAATGCTAATACAATAGTATAACTATAAAGTTAACACAAAAAGGTTTCTGTAGTTTGTGGCTCATTTCGGGGACTAGATTCAGATAGCGCACAAATTGTGATCTTAGACTTGAACCATGTGTTCCTCTTCTGAGAACTCAGTTATCTAGTATCCTTGTGTTCTCTATGTGCAGAGATTACAGAGTGCAAAACGAGTGGTATGAACTGTGGGGTACACTTCACAGTTGCCAAAATCCCAGCCTTAATCTGATCCATGCTACTTTATTCTTGGATTCCTTGATCAGGCATAGATTCCAGTAAGGCTGGCTTTAAGTAACTGCAGTTCATCCCTAGCTCATTCCTTTGAAGTTATAGAATCTTGATGGACTAGAAAAGATCCCACAAGAAAAGATACACAAGGAAGAGAACATATGAACATGGCCTGTTGCTTCTCTCCTCACTCTCTCCCTCTCTCTCCACCCTTCTTCCTTTCTTGGTAGTATGAAATCTAGGCATGGTGATCTACCACTTGAGCTTTTTTCTATACTCCAACGTTTTTTTGTTCTGGTACTTTTGGAATCATTTTTGCATCATACCCAGCTTCTTCCACTGAGACAAAGTCTTAAGTCCTTTTCTGCCTACATTGATTTGGATCCACAGTCCTTATAATATCAGCCACCATGCCTAGCTGTTGGTTGAGTAGGGGTCTCGTGAAACTTTCTGCTTCAGCTGGCCTCAACGACAATCTTCCGAATGCAAGTTAACTAAGAATACAGGAACGAGCCATCAGCACCCAACTGGCATGTTAGTATTTCCATATGGCAAAATGCACTAAGATGTGACATCCCCATATATGTTCTTTTCTAACCTTACTTCACAAAACAAAGTTGCCTAGATCTTGGATGTAAGGAATCTACTAACCTCCTTTCTCTGGTGTCTTTGTGATACACACCAGACAGGGAAGCTTCTGGACTTGTCAGTACGCTGGAATGCCAGCATACCTTATCAATTGAATGTGTGTGTTTCAGCAACCATGGTCCACAAAACTGTCTCCATTCCTTCACCTTTAGGCCATCCCTCTTTCTGTTCTAGCAGAGACTTGCCTTTCTGTGCAACACTGTACTACATTAGCTATCCACATGCATCTGTGTAGCCACTTATAAAAGGTGACAGTCTAGAAAGGGCTCCCTCAGTCAGCTCATGTCCCTTACTTCAGAGAGAAGGACATGGTGACCACTAGAGACCTGGAGGCTGGTTATTGGTAGAGAAAGAATTAGATTTCTTGACTGCACTGACAGTTACTTATTCCACAGTTGAGTAAGGGCTTTGAATTTTTTACTCAGGTGTTCTATATAAGACTTTTTCTTGAAGCCAGGAGCCAGTGGCTCACATCTGTAATCCTAGCTACTCAAGAGGCTGAGATCTGAGGATCATGGTTCAAAGCCAGACTGGGCAGGAAAGTCTGTGAAACTCTTATCTCCAATAAACCACCAGAAAACTGGAAGTGGCACTGTGGTTCAAGTGGTAGAGTGCTAGCCTTGAGCTAAAGAGCTGAGGGACAGCGCTCAGGCCGAGTTCAAGTCCGACGAACGACAAAAAAAAAAGACTTCTCCTTGTTTTACTTCTCATCTCCTTTAATAGAAGGGATGGCGTGGCAGTCATACTATGTGGTAATGACTTAGGCTCTTTGAAATCACATCATCACTCTGGTGGCCCTGCAGTCACACATCTTGAGGGTCAGCCCCTTCATCCTCTCAGAAAAAAAAAAATCACACACTTCAGACTACTTCAGGTTCACTTTTCTACTGGAGAAGTAGATACTCAGAGACAGTTATCTCATAAAAGCATTTCTATGTCAGGCAGGTTCTTCTGCATTATATAATGGTTAAAGTGACATTTAAGAACAAAAACAAGAATCTGAGGTTTCAACCACCAAGGCGTATGCATTCTTTTATTTTCTGCTATGGCAAAAAAGATAAACAAGTACATTTTCATGTTCACTGAATAACAAAGTAGCAATAGCTCTGTAAGGCAAATCAAACAACTATGTTTCATATTCTGAGCACCTTGGAAACATATTCTGAGTGAATTATGAACAGTCATTCTTGCTTCTGAATACAATGATGTCCCAAATGAACTTATTGCCCAAAGTATTTTCAAAGGTAAAAAGAAAACATTTGAATTCAAATACTTGAACAAAATTGCAAATACAAACAGGACATATCAACCTCAGCCAGTTGCTCTCCAAGCAAAAGGTCAAGCAATAAAACCATGAGCAAGGAAATAAGGTTGAACTAGAACTCCTGAACGACCATTACAATCACACCTCTTCTTCTGATTCTTGTTCTCGCTCAGTATTTTTCAGGAGCCCAACTTCTGATGGGCAGAGTCTCCTAAGTCTCCATTTAACTAACCTTGGGAAAAAGAAAAACATCTCTGGTTACATATATCTAAAGGGGGGGGAAAAACAAAATAAGAGAGCAATGTATATCTATAATGCAACCAGTTCCAGATTATTTCAGTAAATGAGGGAAGCGATGCAAACAGGAAAATCATTTCTATTTGACCTTGAGGATAACCAGAAAATTTTCTAGACTAAAGCAAAGTTTAAGTAAACAGATCATGGGTGGCTTTCAAATGAATCACATGATTAATGGGGCTTCAGAAGAAAACTTCTGTCATTTCTATGGGCTGTGGCAAGCCCAGATAAAACTGGGTAACAATGGAGCTTCTCCGCCAAAACCACACCTACCTGTGAGTTGCAAACGACCTTCCCCATCTTTTCCTATAAAGGCAGTGCATGAAGCCATCCCTTCCTAGGGCTGGCTACCCAGCCAGACCCCTGTGTCCTACCTGGGGTAGATTTTAGCCCCTTATTTGCCTCTTCAGAGAGACTCTCTCATGCAGTACACAGGCTGTTCAACTGTATGTGGTGGCCCTGTCCACATTGAATTAAAAGTTCAGAGAAGAAACTTGTGACTATGTTCACAGTCTAAGAGAAAATCAGATGAAGGTTTGGGGTGTGTAATGAGGATATTTTATTTTTGATACTGGAAGATCTGAAGTTTCTTAATGATGAAGGGCTCAGCAAATTGCCCACTTCTCATGTATGGGGAAAAGAATATTAGTAAAAACAGTGCACAGCTTTTCTCCTCGGTCATCATGAGGACCCTGTACTGTGACCACCACAACAAAATATAAACTTTCAGAAATATATGGGAATATGGAAACAAATCTGACAAACCAACTCATCAAAAAAATCACTGTGACTTTATGAGACATTTCTCTAGCCTACCTGTATCTTGAGCTTTACCTTCTGATTGCCTTCTTCTGGCAAAGTTCTGGCCTGTCACGATCAATCAATATAGCATGCTTTTACTTATGCTGTAGATCTATAATAGCTCCATAAGAATAAAGATTTCAGCTTGCTTGCTGCTCTAACCAAGCCAGAGGCTGGGCCAAAACACAGCAGAGGTATGCACACACTTAACAAAATGAGTCTGCCAGGCTTTCACATCACTCAGTCACAGAAGCTAATTAATCCTCATGCATTGAAAACTCAGCATTAACTTGTCCAAATGACCAGCTGTAACCGATAGCATCAGTAACACCTGTTGACTCACCGCTGAGAAAAGCTCCTCAAAACCATTTGCCTAGATTAGTTTGTTGGGTGGTTTGTTTTATGATTTATGCTACTCCCAATATCCTCAGCCTTCCAAGCTAACTGTCTTTATGAACGGCTCATACCCTGAGACAAGTCACAGCCTGGTAGTATTTATGTCATTTCTTAAAATGATTGTCCCATTTTTTCCCTCCACATAACACAACTTCAGTACATGTGCAATGAAATTCACTGATTGCATTCCTGCAGACTTGGGGGAAAATCAAATGAATCACAGGTGCTTATTGCAAATTAATTGTTAACACAGATCTTATTAGCTCCCTATTCCTTCTCTTTGTGTTGTATCTGCTGCCACCCTGCTGAGGCACATTCAGACACTTTTACCAGGTTCTATCTGCCACCAGATTTTCTTGGTTTTATACATGCAATAATGGGTCCCTGGCACAGATTGAGGGCTGTTAATTTTTTAAAAGTGCAAATAATTGCTAGTTACTAGAAGAGTTCAAATTCAAAGTATATCTGTGCTTTTACTCTAATGTGTTCTCTTCATCTATCTGAAGAAGAGAGGAACTGGCATAATGAGCCCCCTTTAGGAAATTGCCAGAAGCCTAGAATTTGAACTTCTCCATTGTGCTCTTTTTAGTGGCCCAAATGAATCACTTCTTAAAAACCCATCTAGATTGTGTACTATCCCCTAACCATAGGAAGGGACTACTGAAATGGTCCTTGCAACACATGAGTTTAGATGTGGTACAGTAAGATGTCATGAAATTTTTAATGACTAGGACTCACCTATGAATTGTTATCATTAAGAGAGAGGGCATTGACTAGGCTTAAGAAATATTTGAACCATTATTACAGAAATCAACCTCCCCTTTCAGGGATACGGGGAGCAGTAGCTTCATAACCTAGTTGTATTTGCTTGGTGATTTTTGTGCTATGTGTGTAATCATACTACAAAGGAATATTTTAATGATACTTTAAGACATTACCTACATTTATAGCATAAACTGGTCAGAAAAACAGAACTCTTCACTCTAACGGTTCCAGAGCAAAAGGCATACAAAATATGATTCTCAAACAAATATGGCCTATATTTCAGGAGCCTTAAAACATAGACTTCTTGAAGCATAGAAAAGTATTTATTGAGCACCTATGATATTGGTGTGCCAGAAGATGTGGGGGCATAAAAATGGTATTTTTTAACAAGGGAACAGAATCTAGCTATCACATAAAACTCACACATGTGTTAGTTGCAACTGTTAATCACAGTTTTCCAAATGATTGGTAGAGAACAAAACACCCTCAAATTTTAGCAAAAAAAAAAAAAAGACCTCTAAGAAACTACAGACATTTTCAAAGAGGAGATGGGTATTTAACGTCAATGTGGCAGGTAAAAGAAACTTCCTGGTCAAAGAGATAAAAATGACAGGTTGTAGGGCTTACAAAGAAGTTGAAAAATAAGGCATCTCTGGATTCTAGAGAAGTCTAAGTGGGCAAGAGGCTTATTAGGCATCTGAAGGGTTTTGAAATAGGAAGAGACAGTAGTCTTCTTTTGGCTCTCGAGGGAAGCTGCCACGAGGTAGAGCATGTCTTTGAATTCTGGCACTGTTCCTGGAGACTGTCCAGCCCCTAAGGAGACGAGGCCCAGATTTCAGCCTGGAACAACAGTGGAAGAAGTCAAGTTTCACTCAGGGGCATAGCCAGTCTTAAGGAACTCATACACATGCTTTCCAAGAATGCAATAGGACTATTAGAAATCGGGCAATTAGAAGGTAGAATTTCTCAGCACTCACCAGGACATAACCCTGGAAGGAAACAATTGTATATCAAAGTGGGCTCACCCAAAGCCTAACAGAGACATCTGGGAGGTAGATAAGGGAACAGTTCTTGTTGTTCAGAGCCCCATTTGCAGAGTTGCTTCCACATTAAGATGTAGATAAGCACAAAACAGGAGGTACAATGTAGGGTCCGTGTTTACACAGTGGAAAGCTTCTTCCAGAAGAACCCCTATAAGGCCTAGGAACAACTGCAGCATATTAGGAATCTAGATAAATAGTGCCAATTACAATAGCTACTATATAGATTAATATCCAAATAAACTAAAAGTAATGTGATACTCAGTTACCAGTGACTACTCCGTTGAACATGGGCTATAGCAGGTATAGACATTTCAATCAGAGCTGCTGTTGTGGTGCTGGAGCATTCATGCCCAGAAATTAGGATAAGCCAAGTTCATTGCTGTTTGGCACTAATTTCCTAAAGAACCACAATCACCTTTTTTTTATTCCTACTCAACTTTCAAGATCTAGCATCACTTTAGATTATAGGGACCCTACCCTGGGCTATTCCAGCGCTTCTTTCTCCTTTCTTCTACATTTGTAGCACTACAGTTTAATGATCTAGCTCTCTAATTTAGTCATAAATATATGACATAAATATATGACCAAAGGGGCAGAGAAGGAAGAGGAGGAGGATAACAAAAACAACACAACAGTAACTTTTTTCTTGTGCTCTTCTTATATCTTAAGCAGGTTTTAAGTATCTGATCTCATTTTGGTCCAATTATCATCCCCATTTTCAATGAATGAACAGCGAAACTGAGACATTGTATTTAAGTAATTGGGTTGAAGTCATAGAAATAATAAACAGCAAAGCTAGGAATGCATATTGTCATCAATCTGTTATATTGTTCCTCACATGTTCATGGAATGTTGTAACATGATTCTTATAAAAGAAATATGCCATTCAACTGTTGGAATTATTAGAGCCAATGTCAAATTAACCAGGCACTAAAATGTACTGGATTGATCAAAATCTGGCTCCCAGATGAAGAAGTGATAAGGTTGAAACATGAGTTTGTGTGAAGATATAGAGGCACAAGATAGTGTATTACAAGATGATGCGTGGGCCAGAGACACACCAGAGACACTGTTGAGCTACTCTGACTCTAAACCATCACATATTCTTTGTACTGGCAATTTCTGTGTCTGCAGGCAGGTTTTTGCTACGCTACTCCTTTTTTTTATTTATTTGAAAATACTGTACAGAGGGGTTACAATTACATGAGCAAGATAATGAGTACATTTCTTATCAAGCATTGTACCCTCCTCCTTTGTTTCCCCTTCCCATCCCATCCTCCCCCTTGCCCCTCCACCTAACCCTCCCCCCCCCACCAAAGTTGTAAAGTTTGTTTTCGACATAAGGACTTGTACATCTCATTGTTGCAATGGATCCACCTGTATCCCTATTTAAACCATTTGTTTTTCCCTTCCCCTCCACAAATTATACCAACATCAAATACAGTGAAAGCAGGGCTTATACCATGGGGGAGGGACATACAAAGCAACAAAGAAATCATGTTGTAAATGCGTTAGAAACAAATGCATGAAAGAAAAAAACATTTGAATACATATCTTAGGATTCATTTCCCTAACATCACCTTATCTGTCCTTTTCTGCTTGACTCCAACATATACTAGTTATAACATATAAGGGAAACCATGGGACCTATGTTTCTTTGGGCCTGGCTTACTTCACTTAATATAATTTTTTCCAAGTCTTTCCATTTCCTAACAAATGGGGC